AAAAAAAAGCCAAATAACTATTTGTTTCCAAAATAAATTAGCTGAAATCTGCATCATAGTGAAGTCACGAATGAACTGTTTGAAACGTTTATTGTTGTCTACTGCAACAAAATATTGTGTATACTATATATATATTTTAAAATGCACTGTCCTATAACATGTAGTATGAAGCAGTATGTAGTAGTATGTTTGTAGCAGTAATGGTAATTTGTGTATGTATCCCACAATGTATTGCATTGACTTTACATTTTCAGTGACATGAATCTGATGGTTTTTAGCGTCTGCTTGAATAATTATTTAATTAAACTGAATTAGAAAATTTTTATACAAAATTAAACTGGAAATGCACAATAGCCATTTTTATTTTTGAGATCATTGTAGTTAAATGATGCTGAATTAAACATGATGGCATGTAATGTAGAATACTACACAGTTAATGCCTATGGTTTTGCATTGTATTTAGTAAAAAAAGTTTATTTTTTCCATTTCCTGGCTGGTAGTTTTGTGTTTTGTTGTAGAATACTGCACTTCTCTGGCTCACTGCCTCGCTCTTCACATGATATCAATGCGATACCCCGTTTATTCCAGTTGAGCAGCAGCACGCAGTCCTACCAGCTCTGTCAGGACTTCTTTTCTGCTTTTTCTACTGCAGTTGTAAAATAAATAATGAAATTGCTGAATCACCCACTCGGTTTTTCAGCAGAGCAGATTGTGTTGTGAACATTCCGGGTTCAATACAAGTTAAGCTTTATCGACAGCATCTGTGACATGCTGTCGATAGCCACTGAAAATAATTTTGACTCACCTCCCAGCTTGTGAAAACAAGCAAAAATCATCTACATTTAATGCACTTTTATAATGGAAACCTATGGGACAAGGCATCAAATTTTATTTTTATTATATAACCACTACTGTAGATGTGCTATATAATCTTGTCTGATTCCTGTCACAAACTTTTAAAGCCAGTAATCCCTTTAACCCTACAAGGAAAGATGCTGGAAAGGAAGTAGTTTTTTTTCTTTCTGTGATGATCAACAGCGTGTTGTTTTGAATCCATAACATTCCTCTACACATCTCAATAGCAAGAGCAGGTATTTAGAAGCAATGCAGCAATTCATATCGGGAGTTAGATCGGGTCCTATGAAATCTGTTTGGTTTTTCACAAGTTCCTTTTTTTTTCTGGCTTCTGTTTTTCCATTTAAATTTTTCTGGATTCTGTTTTAATGGTTAAAATTTTTACAAATCAAAATGCATGTCTAATTTAATTGAAATCATAAAACTTTAGACAATTTAGTAAAAATTAAAGTAAAGTTAAAAGAAAATTAAAGGCCCCATGAAATCCATTTTATTTTTCCCAAAATTACATGTTTTCTGTTTAAAATTTTTCTGGATTTGACTTTAATGCTAAAATTACATTTAAGGGATGCACGATATTATCGGACCAATATCAAAATTGGCCGATAATGGCTTTAAATGTAAATATCGGCAAAGGCCCGATATGAAAAATTATGTTTATGTCTTGCCGATAATAGGAATACATGAACTCACATGTGCTCAGGGTGTGCTAGCGATTAGATCACGTCAGCATTGTGGCTCATTCTTGAAGCAAAGTTTTGCCTGAATGATGATTAGATTCACTGTTTTGGATCGCTGCATTTAAATTGAGAATGCACCTACAGAATGACGCGTTCGGTGATAGAGTAAACCGTAACAGCATGTGCAGCGGCAGCCTCCCCCGGGTCCTAATGCCCGCTCAGTAAGGAGTTTTAATTCCGTAGGGTGCGCTGTTGGCCTACTTCTAATAAAATGAAAGCAAAATACACAAATAATATGTAGACTGTTTCTGATTAAATAAAGCAGTAATTGATGCCATAAAATCATGAGTATGTTTTGATTTAAAGGAAAGAAGCTTACATGAACAAAAAAAAATCACAAACATGACACTTAAATTAAATAATTTTATATATACTGATTTATTCATTAATGTGTAATATGTTATATTTTTTTAAACAAATTATGAGCTCTAAAAGATATTCAGAATTTGTACACTCTTTTGCTTTAGACCATTTACAAATGTTAAATCATAAAATTAATGACAGCCTGTAGTCTCCTGGGCATGCTGTCACCCAGCTTCATGCAAACCTCAACTTCAGTTTTTTTTCCCAGACTCTGTCTGAATAATCTTTGGTCCCACATTTGTATACATTTTACTGGTAGGCCACTGCATGAAGAATTTTTGGGTATGATTTGTCAGTTTACTTTATTTTGCT